CTTTCAAGTCAAAAATATGAATTTATTTTGTTCTTAAAATTTTTGTAACAGCTCTTCATACACATATTTCTGTAAAAAAAAACCCAGGTCCTCTGCAAGCACAGTCAATGCTCTTAACCACTCAGCTATCTCTCCAGCCTCATACATGTATTTATTTTAACTATAATAAAATGTAAATATTTATTTAATAATTCAAAAAATATTGTCTTCAAAATAATGTATTAATAAATACATAATAAGGCTATGTGTATTGTTATAGCACCCAAACAATCTTTATACATTCTGCCATCCACATATACTGTAACCTTTTCCCAACAATTAAGGGAAAAAAATAGGTAGTATATAGATGGGTCAAGCAGTTAAGAACATTAACTGCTCTTGCAGAGGACCCAGGTTCACTTCCCAGAATCCATGTGGTGGTGGCTAACATTTATCCATAACTCTAGTTCCAGTGGATCTGACGCCCTCTTCTGGTGTCCACAGGCATTCCATGCATAGGTACACTTACATGCAGGCAAAACACTAACACACATAAAATAAATTTTGAAAACACTAACAAAATTGGTATACCACACATAAAAATCTTGTGGGGTATACTTAGCAGTTGAAGTGGTGTCAAGGACAAGAGGATGGAACCTAGCTAGAGTCTGTTTTAGTTTTATTTCTGTAATTGTGATACAATACCCTGAGAAAACCAACTTAGGTGAGAAAAGGTTCATTTCAGCTCACAGTTCAAGGTTACTGCCCATCATAGCAGAAGGCAGTGAGAACTCAAAGCATCTCATCACATCCCACACATAGCCAGGAGCAGAGAGCAGTTAATGCATGCATACATGCTAATGCTCTCTTTCTCCACTCTTTCACAGTTCAGAATTCCTTGCTGAGGGAATGGTGCCACCCATGGTGGGCTAACCTTCCCTTCACAATTAATGTGGCCATGACAATGCCCCACAGACATGCTTATGCTCCAAACTGATCTAGACAATTCCTCACTGAGACTCCTTTCCAAAGTGATTCTAGATTGTGTCAAGGTGGGAATAAAACTATGTCACAGGGTCACAGAGGCACATGAAAAGTGTCAAACAGTGTTAAGTATTGTGGCTGAAGAAAGAGGCCTTTTGTTTCATGGTTAAGAATTAGCTAATAGGGGCTGGAGAGATGGCTCTGTGGTTAAGAACACTAGCTGTTCTTGCAGAAGACCCAGGTTTGAATCCCAGCACCCAGGTGGTTTTCCCAAGGTGAGGCTTATCCATTGAACACCAGATGTGCTGACCCCTGAGATTTCTTCAAATACAGAAACTTGACTGTGTAATTTGTAGTAGTGGGGTACTGTGTTAGTGCTCTTCCCTGTTTAAAAAATAATTAGCTAATAGGGCTGGAGAGATGGCTCAGTGTTTAAGAACAGTGGCTGCTCCTGCAGAGGACCTGGGTTTGATTTCCAGCACCCATATGGCAGTTAACAACCATTCAAAAACTCCAGTTCCAGGATCTCTGACACCCTCCTCTAACCTCCACATGCATTGCACAACATGAGTGTACTTACATACATGCAGGCAATACAATCATACACATAAAATAAAAAGAATAAATAAAATAAAAAGAATTAGTCAATAAAGTAGATGAGGTGTGTTTGTTTGGATTATTTCTTTTTCTTTTTCTTTTTTTTAGCAGTCAAAGAGATTTTATTGAAAGAAGATAGACATCCATACATGCATTCACACAGGGATACTCTACACACATGTAGAGGGGTTTCAGGAAACTGAAGTCCAATGCTCTGGGAGAGTTTGTGCTTTAAAATTAAAAAAAATTTAATTGGCCTTTTGTACATTTCATGCCACAGTTCTTAATCAAATTCAGATCCCTCCACTGTCCATACGTGCCCCCACCAGACCTGATGCATTCTGCTATACATATTAATGCCTATTCAGTCAAGCATATGCCCAGATGTCCTTTGGTGAAAATTCATCCACTGGAGTCTAGTCAGACTATCTAGAGAGTTTTAGAACCTTGAGCATCACACAGTGAAACCCTGTCTAAGTCTAAGAAAAGGAAGCATTGAATAAACTTTGGACCAAGGAGATGGCAAAATTGGTAAAGGCTTATCTTGCAAGCATAATGATCTGAGTTTGATCCCAAGAATCCACTGAAAAACAAAACACTCTGTCTGTCTCTTTGTGTGGTGGTGCTTTTCAGTCTTTCCAGTTTTGTCTCCCTAGTCCAGATTTTTGCAAGTGTGATATTATTGACATATTTTCCACTAATTCATCACTTGAGGTATAGGGAAGCTCTATGTAGGGTTGTTAGCTACATCCCTGGCTTCCCCCTCACAAATTGCCAACAGGAAACTGTACTACTACACTATGGCAATTTAAAATATCCACTGGCACTAACACAAATGAGAGCAAATCTGTTCTGACCAACAACTGCAGCGCAGCCACAGTGGCTCCATAAACTTCGCACATTTCTGTGTTCCTGGAAGTAATGTCAGGCCAATGTTGTCAGCCTCCCTCCTCCTTCTGGAATCTTGGACCCTGCATGTCTTGGTAAGGTCACCACTTCTGATTTCTTTCAATGTAGTTACGAATCACCTAATGGGACTGAATGATGGCTTAGCAGGTAAGCATACTGGCTGTTCTTGCAGAGGACTGGGATTCAGTTACCAGCACTCACATGGTGACTAACAACCATCTATAACTACAGTTCCAGGGATTCAACAATCTCCTCTGGTCTCTGTGGACGCTGCACATATGTGGTGCACATATCTGCATGTAGGCAAAGCACTCAAACACGTAAAATAAAAATAACCCTACAAATGCCTAACCCTTTTATCCTCATCTTTTTTATTTTAAATCATTTTTTAGTCCTATTTCTTCTTTAGGATAATTGTTGAGTTAACCTATAAGCCATATACAGTTGTTACTTGTTTAGGGAACTAAGTTATATTGCAATATAGTCACTCTCATTCACTTATCTGTTGTCTGGCAGTTTATGCACTTTTGGGAGAACTAGGAGTTTGTGTTTATAGTATCTAATACAGTATCTTGGAACTGAATGACAGCATGTTTAAATTTTCTCAGTTTCATCTAAAAATATAAATTAAACTGAATTCTTTTCTTTCACATGACCAAATACAGTGAATTACATTGTGGCATCTCTGCATTACAGTGTGTTATGGGAGTAAAATAGCACAGTTGGTTAAAATATAGTTTCAAAAGTTTAATCCTAAGATTATAGACTTAATTTCTTGCTATTCCTATTACATTTTTTTAAAAAAGTCATAAAACCCTCTCTAACCTTCACTACCCTATTATATAAATGTATATTTATGGGGCTGGAGAGATGGCTCAGTGGTTAAGAGCACTGATTGCTCTTGCAGAGGACCCAGGTTTGATTACCAGCACCTATATGGTGGCTACAAACTGTCCTTATCTCCAGTTCCAGGGGACTCCAAAGCCCTCTCTGACCTCCATGGCATTACATGACACTGGTACACTCACATACTTGCAGGTAATACACTCATAAACATAAAATAAGAATAACAAAATATTTTAAAATGAATATTTATTACAAGGAGAATAAGACAAGGTTAATAGATAATGTAAATCACTTGTGTCTACAGAAAATCACTTCACTTATTACATGTGTATTCAAAGTAGTTTTTATTATCTTTCCTTTTTTTCTACATTTAATGTTGCATCGTCCTTTGACATTTATATGAAAAATACAATTTATATTTAATGAATTTGGTAATTGCATATTTGACAATAAGAATGCCTTCTAGTTGGCTTTACTTATTTGTTTATTTGAGTGTGTATGTGCATATATCGTTTGCATCTGTGTAGAGGTAGAGACTGACCATCAAGTGTCTTCCTCAATTGTTCTACACCTTATTTTCTGAGACAGGATCTTTCACTAGCTGATTGGCCAGCAAGCCTCAGGAATACTCCTGTCCGTCTCACCAGAGCCAGGTTTACTGTAGTGTGCCTCTATGCCTGGCTTTCTCACTTGGGTGCTGGAAATTGAACTCAGGTCCTCACACTTGCATAGCAAGCTCTTTATTGACTGGTCACTCCTCGCCCCATCTACTAGTTTCTATTTAGTTTCTGTCAGAAGCAAGTGGTTCTTGAAATGCAGTAGTTACCTTTTTCTAGATGCTCATTGAGGAACAGATGTGATAGAGACAATTAGATAACTGTACATCCCAAATAACTCATAAAACAGAGAATATAACTTACCAGTTTAGCATTGTGAGATTAGTTATGCTTAGATTAAATAGATGCTTGTCTGCTTTGCCTGTGGATACAGTGACCATCTGTATGCTTTCACATCAAAATCTTACAATTCCTTTTCATTTTTGAGAATTTCATACAAGAGTATTGAATTTCCATCATTTCTACCCCTTTCTCCCCATCTCCTCCAACATTTCCCCTCAGTTTCTTATCCTCTTCTGGAATATTATTTTTCATATGCATAAATACATTCATATATATATGTAGATATAATGTGGTGAGTCCTTTAGTGGTGCTCATGTGTGCATGTGTTTAAGGCTGACCTCTTGGAATTAGATAGCCTGTCAGGGAGCTGGTGCCTGAAGAAGGCTGATTTTTCCCTCCCTCAGCAGTCACTGGTCACCTGTAGCTCTTCATCTAGAGGTGGGACTCTGAAATTTCCCCTTTCCATACTGGCATGTCCATTGGTGTTGTCATAATGCAGGTCTTGTTCAGATGAATATACTGCGGAGATGTCATGAGTGTATTTACCCTAACATATCCAGAATACATTATCTAGTGGCAGGTGTCCTGATCCTCTGACTCTTCTATATTACATGAAACTTAGGTGGAGGGGGTTGCATTATAAATATATCACTTGGGTTAGGCACCACAAAGTTGGTTATTCTCTGCATTTTGAGCAGTTGTAGAACTTTGTAATAGTCTCCATATGCTTCAAAAAGAGGCTTCTTTCATGAGTGATGAGAGCTCCACTTCTCTGTGAATTTAAGGGTATGTATTTAGAATACAGCATGAAATTGCATTAATTTAGGAAAGTGGCAGTAATAGGCTCTCCTCTAGGTTCTATGATCTTTCACATATACTTGGCAATGTTTACAGTACCATTCATGGATTCCCTTCCAATGGGGAGGGGCTTAAGTCCAAAAAGAGCCACTATTACTTGAACAGAGATATTTTGGTTGGGCAATAATTATTGTAGGTCTGTAGGTTTTAACAGCTGGGTAGGGCCATTGATTGCTTTTCTCCCTTGGCAGCTTTGCATAGCACCTACTGACGGTATGAGAGCTAGTTCTCTGGAAGAGGCTCCAGGTCAGGTCCAGCTCTATTTCTGCAAGTCCAGTGTCTAAAGTGTGCAGTGTGTTTGACCATAAGGTCTTACCTCCAACTTCTGGGAGGCAATGAAGGGGTGTGCCAATAGGCTATATTATTTAGGGAGCCTCTTGGGCTACCCTGACCAAGAACTCAAAGGGAGTTTTCCCTTACCTGGTACTGGGTTTTTTTGTTAGATAACAATCTTTAACAATGAACATCATGACTCAGATATGATGCTGAACTCTTTTTATTTCCTGAACATTAGTGTATATATTTTTCATTCTATTAATTCTTTGATAATTCTATACTTATAAAATCTTGTCTGTCTTTGTATAAC